GTACACACTGATATACACCTGAACATCAGAGGGGAAGCAAACACAGACATCACAACACGTAGCATTACGGAGCAAACACGGGAGATCGTCTCACCTTAGCTGTTATTCTGATCAAAAGTCGTGTTCAATGGCATTAGATATGGAAAATCCACCCAAATGACCCCAGAAGTGTTTTTTTTTCTAAATCTCTCTAAAAAGGTCAAATGTCACTTGTTTTGCATCAATCTTGATACAGGGTACTTATTATAGTTTGGATTCCTAAAGCTTTTCGTCTACCATCCCATCATCTAAGGGTGGTTTTCACTGTAAGTAATGTTTTTTTACTGTGTTCAATCTGAATATACTTTAAAATAAAAACATCTATATTGATTCTGACACTTCTACACCCAACTCAGGTGTAACCTTGCTTTAAGGAAAAAGATGATTAATTTACCACTTTTAGAAGTGAAGATATGGTCATTTTCGAGCCCGAGACCTGAACAACAAATTCTGATATTTTTCCAAAATTCAGATCTTTCTCTGAATTTCAGTGAGAGTTATTCTAAACATGAGCTTTAGTCTCCATGCTCATATGTTCTGGTTCTTCTCGGAGCTCCTCGTAGCAGAGCATCTTCACAACAAGACTCTTATCTCCAATAAATCTCACTGTTAATAACGCTAAATTCAGATTTTGCTTTGTTTAAATTCTCAAAATATTTTCTGAAAACCGACCTTCGTTTGCTGCACAGAGTGACTAGCGTTAGCGTAGCATTAGAGTAGTGTTAGCTTTAGTGGGTGACCTCTGACCTGTAGGACCCAGGTGTGTTGAGGCAGGAGGTTCTGCAGGGTCCGGCCCCACCGCTGCACTCGTCGATGTCCTCACAGTCTCCGGACCCGGTTCTGATGAAGCCCGGCTCACAGAGCTGACAGGCGGCGCTCTGGTTGGCCACGGATCCGTCCGTCAGGTGCCAGGCGGGGGGGCGGCCCGAGCAGACCAGGTCCAGCTGCAGACCAGACCAGCACACCACCAGAGCCCGGGTCTTGTTGTCCTCGCGGAGGGAGCGGGTCCCCGTGATCTGAGGCCGTGGACAAGGGTCCGGTTCTGTTCCAGAGTCAGGCTTCAGGTGCGGTTCTGTTCCAGAGTCAGGCTTCAGGTCTGGTTCTGGTCCAAACTTAGTCTTCAGGTCTGGTTCTGGGTCTTGTGTCACAGGTGTAGCTTGTGGTGTATCAGGTTTTGATGGTTGAGGTTGTTCCTTTTCTGAAGGCTCTGGTGCAGCTGATTCTTTTTGTGGTGTAGGTTTTGCTTCTGGTGCTAGTGCAGGCTCTGGTCCCGGTCCTTGGGTTGGTTCTGGTCTTTTTTCTGGTCTTTTTTCTGGTCCTTTACCTTTTTTAGGTCCGGGTGCTGGTGCCACCCACGTCCCCCGGCCTTTACAGATGTATGGGTTTTTGCTCCTGCAGCTGACGGGAATCAGGCCCCAGCTGGTCCCGCTGGTCCCGGTCTGGTTCAGCCTAATGGCGGCACAACGTAAGGTGGTGCAGGTCTCTTGGGGCTCCTGGGCCCAGCGGACCCCCTGCGGGGCCTGGCTGCCCCCCCCGGTCCAGCTGAACCCCCTCAGAGGCAGACCCGGATCCACACAGGCATCCTTCACCTTCCGCAGCCCGACCCAGAACACGGAACCGTTTGACCCTGAGACCAGGTTCAGCACCGCAGAGACCTCCTGGTCCGAGAACAGGGAGGCAAGTCCGCCGGGGGGGCAGGCGTCCTCTGCCGCCGAGAAGATGGCGGGGGAGGGATGCAGTGAGAACAGGGGTGGGGAGGCCAAGACCACGGGGCCCAGAACCCAACAGAACCAGAACCACATCATCTTCATCTGATCCTGATCCTGAGGAGAGACATCAGGGTCTGATTAAAACTTTATCCATCAAAACAAACACAAACAAATATATTTTATTAATATTCATTTTTGATTATTATTTATTACATGTTGATACAGCAGCCTTTACTGGAGCAGACAACGTGAACAGTTACCAGATCTTTATAAAGTTATTATACTGATATTATATCTACAGGTATAGACATTTACTATCAGCTAACCAGTGTTAGAGAGGGTTATTACATGATGGTACTTCCCTCATTTAAAGAGTCCTCTCCTGCTGAGGTTCAGCAGGAGAGGACTCTTTAAAGTAGAGACACTACATACTGATATACACCTGAACATCAGCAGGAGAGGACTCTTTAAAGTAGATACACTACATACTGATATACACCTGAACATCAGCAGGAGAGGACTCTTTAAAGTAGATACACTACATACTGATATACACCTGAACATCAGCAGGAGAGGACTCTTTAAAAATACTGATATACACCTGAACATCAGCAGGAGAGGACTCTTTAAAGTAGAACTACATACTGATATACACCTGAACATCAGCAGGAGAGGACTCTTTAAAGTAGAGACACTACATACTGATATACACCTGAACATCAGCAGGAGAGGACTCTTTAAAGTAGATACACTACATACTGATATACACCTGAACATCAGCAGGAGAGGACTCTTTAAAAATACTGATATACACCTGAACATCAGCAGGAGAGGACTCTTTAAAGTAGAGACACTACATACTGATATACACCTGAACATCAGCAGGAGAGGACTCTTTAAAGTAGAGACACTACATACTGATATACACCTGAACATCAGCAGGAGAGGACTCTTTAAAGTAGAGACACTACATACTGATATACACCTGAACATCAGCAGGAGAGGACTCTTTAAAGTAGAGACACTACATACTGATATACACCTGAACATCAGCAGGAGAGGACTCTTTAAAGTAGAGACACTACACACTGATATACACCTGAACATCAGCAGGAGAGGACTCTTTAAAGTAGAGACACTACATACTGATATACACCTGAACATCAGCAGGAGAGGACTCTTTAAAGTAGAGACACTACACTTGCACTGTTGGAGGAGCCTGGGACTTAAGCTTTTCATTGCCATATCTAAACTGTAGCTAACGTGCACATGACAATAAAGCCTTGGATTGAATAAACATGCGAAACATGGGCAGCATTACCCCAGTTTTTAAGAATGAGGGTAAGTTGTGGATGTTAAAACCATAAAACTGTGCCGTCATGGAGCAGGACAGTTTGGCCCGGCTTCCACCTTGGCAACTCAGGGTCTCTCTTTTCTTTTCTCTCTCTTCCCTGTCTGCAGCGACGGAAACATAATGATTCAACGATGACTCAGATCTGCGGCTGCTGAACCCAGCCCTCGTGTGTTTTAGTGACAGCCGTCTCCAATACACAGAGGAAAGACTGCGTTCACTTTCACTGATGAGGTAATTATACCGTGAGGAAACTCAGGTTCAACAGACACGCTAGCAGCTCTGTCTTTAACGCTCAATGTGAAGAAAACTGTAGATAAATAAACAATATGGGAGAAGTTGACGGCTTTGAAGTCCAATTCGAGAAAGATATTGCACTAATGATGTAAAAGTCCACGCGCAAAGTTTGCAAATGAGTGCAATTTGCCCCTTTTTTGCATCAAATCGCAATTATACATTCAATCCCCACAAACTCCAAAACAAAACAATTATTTGGAATTCTTACTGTTGCAGCAAAAAAAGCAATAACTAGAAAATGGCTC